TGCGTCGTGAGGAACCAGGCGGCGGAGCCCCAGGTGTAGTCATCCGGCATCACGAGCTCGAGGATCTGGTTCTTCTTGTCGTCCGTCAAGCTGTTTCCGTCCGTGACGCCGCCCGCGATTTCCGCCGCCTTGTCTTTCAGTTCCGGGATCGAGAGGGCGTACATGAGGTTGTACCCCGCCATCTGGAGGTTACGGGTGCCCTGCCCCGGGCGGCCTGGTTCGGGGAAGTGGTTGCGGTTGTAGCGGAAGTCGCCTGTCTCAAAGGCCATTAGGGAGAGGAGGGCTGCCATTTCGCCTTTTGTCGTGACGTTGTATTTCTGGAAGGCTTGGGGCAGGTAGGACGCCACGTGGGATGCTGTTGCGCATTCGTCTGCGAAGGTGGTTACGCCGTCGCAGGAGGTTGATTTGGGGGCTGTTGTGGCGATGATGGATGTTGCGTTTAGGGGGGCGTCTTCGTTTGCGCGGTGGGTTAGGAGGATTGGTTTGGCGAGGGTGGAGGGGAGGAGGAGGGTGAGGGGGAGGAGGAGGGTGAGGATCATTTTGGAGGTTGTTGTTGGTGTTGTTGTGGTGTTGGTTTGAGGTGGGTTGTAAGTGGTGTAAGAGGTGGATGGGTGATCTTGTGTAAGGTCAAGAGGAGAAAGCGTTCGATGGCGATGATGCTGATCGTGAACCGTGATATAGGAAGCCAAAGGTTACACTGGTTATGAGAGAAAGGCTTTTCAAACGAAACAAAGACCCCGAGTACAGAGTACCAGAGCCGCAGCAGGCGAGGGAACGATTGTAAGGTGGCAGAGTGAGTGACACAGTCAGATCAGGAAAAAGAAGCGAAGGACTGACGAGAGACAGAGAGAAGATGAGAAGATGAGAAGATGAGAAAGCAGACGCAAGGAAGAGCGAGGTGTTTGTCTTTTTTTGGGAACCCCCCCGGGAAAGGAAGCAAAGGATCAAATGAACCGGGCTGGGATCTGTGGGTTTTGAACAGTCCCGCCCCTGGGCACAGCATCTTTTGACGCGGGTTCACTAGAGCCCTGGAGGTGAGGTGGTCATGCGCGCGTGCCGTGTAGAAAGACTTTCTGCTTAGTCGAAAATGCAGGAACGAGAGCCAGTGCCTTGCTCCGTTCAAAGTTCCCTTGAGGAGTTCCATTCCCTTAGTGGAGGTCTAGTGTAGAAGAGAGGTGATCTTCCCATCGCCCTCCGCGCGCTTGCGCCAGTAAGATTTGCAGCTTTCCTCTCCACACGGGATGACCCTGTTCAGAATCATTGCCGCTGTCCGCATATTCGGCAGAAAGACGTCTAAAGAAGTAAAGTTCTTTTGGACAAGTTTGTGAGGGGGTTCCCAGGATAGGGGGTAAAGAAGGGATGGGATTGGGAGGGTTCTAGCTAGGTGCAGCGTGCTCGTTAGCCAGAGATCTTCGGCGAGGCCTCTGCGAGGTGGTCGTGGTGAAACGAAACAGGGGCCAAGCCTACCCCCGTCGACATGTCAAAAGGATGCAGCTGCGCCGTAGTGATTGGCTGAGGGGCTGCGGCTGATGGTGCGGAGCTTCGTGATGTTGCCTCCCTCCCCCCCCCCCCCCCGGCTCGGGGGGAATTTGGAGGGGTAATTGGGTGATGCCGTTGCTGCCGAAAGGGCGGCAGACAGAAATGCTTGAAGGAGGCTGGCTGGCTGGTGTGTGTGTTTTTCCCTTTCCCATCACCTGTTGTGTAAGTCTTGTGGAGTTTGGCGAACAACATGGACTGGCGAAAGCAAGTTGCCGCAGCAGCTTGCACGCATTTCGAAACCCACATACACACAATACGGCAGACTTTTCGCTTCTTGGGCGGCAAAGACTTGCTGTCATCCTGTCTTTCGTAGCAAGAGTCAGGGGCAGTCCCAGAACGACGCTCGTGTACTCTGCACTGTTGCAGATAGACTGGCGCGAGAGATGATGATCCGTCTTGGTTCATGCGCCTCGGACGGCCAGCCTTACTAAGGACTGGGGTGTGTCACTGTAGTACTATGTATACTACCTGTACTGGCGGCCTTGAAATGTACTCGGGAATCAAAGTTAATTTTGGCAGAGAGCATGACAAAGACCCGGTGGAGTCTTTGTCCGTGTTCAAGATGCTTTGATTGCGAAAGGAAACGCACATAACGTCAACAGGGAATTGTTTGAGCTCTGGCGAACATGGGCGCTGAGTGAGATGTTGAAGCGAAGGATTTCGAGTGCGATGAACTGCCCTGTTCAAAGCCCCTTCCTTGTCAACTGCAGCCACAATGCTCTGCCCTTGGCTGCTTGACTAAGCAATTCCCCGGTCTCCACCCAGCCCGAAGCGGATCGACCAATGAGAATGTGTGCCTGGCCTAGTGACCATCAGCGCCAAAGTGGTCGGCTCCTCAGCCCATTGAAGCTCCGCGACCGCGACAAATCAATCATACAATCCTCCCCTCGTCGCGACCAAATTCAGCTTCGACTCGACCGCGCCGCATCGAGTCAACCCACACAATCCGACAACTCACGCGCGCCCGCGCGCAAATAACAACCACACACACGCACACGCACACGCACCTCTGCCGAACAAAAAGCCATGGGCGAGAACCAAGCGAATGCCGCCAACGCGGCGCAAGGGCCGGCTCCGACAATGCAAATGTACAGAGAGGAACAAGTCCGCCTGCGCCAGATGCTGGACAAGAGGGCAGTGATCGCCAGGAAACTCGCCGCCATCGAGGCCGACATTGAGCAAAAGGAGACGGCCTACCTCGACAGCACGCCAAACGGTAACATCATTGCCGGCTTCGACAACTACATCAAGGGCTCCGGCGCGGCCGCCCAGCGGCGCAAGGCCGGTGCCACGGAGCAGAACCGCGTCTTTTCACGGAGTTCGGTGTCGTATCGCCCTGGCAGTGTACGTCTCCCCATCAACCGATATCACTCTGGACACAGCCGCTAACACAAAAAAAATTGTAGGAAGCCACGACGCCCGGCTCGACCCCCGCTTCGCATGCGCCGACTCCCTTGTCGACGTCCTTCAAGGACGGCGGCGGTTCGAACCACGCGACGCCGACCTCCGCGACGGCATCGAAATCCGGCAAGAAGAATAAGAAGCAGAACGAAGAAGACAGCGATCACGACTCGCAAGCGCCGAACAAGAAGCGCATCAACTTTGGCGCCGGACGCAAGTGAGAAAGTCTCTGTACGCCAGGCTCCATCACATATGTTGGATGAATCGGCAAAGAATGATGTTACGAAGATTTTCTTTCGGATTATGGCAATTTCATTTCGCGTATTGCTGAGGCGACTTCTTTCTGCTTCGCAGCGGTTGCAATCTTCGTAGGCTCCCGAGGACGTCTTACGATTGCGACGTGGGGACCGAGAAAGCTGTTTGCCCAGCATCGCTTACTTTCAGACGTATTTGTATATAGTTCATGCCCAGGCGACGAGTGTAGAAAGCTTGGCCTAGGAGGCAAAAACGTTGGTGGGAGTTGAGGAGTTCCGGAACCACGATACCCTAAAGGGCTTTTTCCAACAGGAAATCTCATCCCAATCACAAAGTGTTGGGCAATACATTGTGGCCCATTGGCTCTTTTTTCATCCAATCCGTCTGTCCTAGTAACACATCAGAGATGAGAGGCGATTTGACCAGAAGTGTGTATGTTTGGCCGAGGCTAAGGTCTGTTGCGGGCACTTTTGCACCGAGACGTTGCAAAAGTTCGTCTCCACCCGGTACTTTTGCGCCGTTGGACCCTTAATACTACGACGGAAGGAGAATCTACTCATATCTTCGTATTTAGGCATTGAGACCACCTGCCAACTTGAGAGCATCTCTCTGCCCAATTTATTTCAAAACACTCTATTTGGATCAGTAAATTACTGTGCGGGAACAGCTTCGGTCTTGATTATTGCCCTCCTATAGGGTCCTTTGGAAGCGAGCTGCCCTCCGTGCTCGTAGAATCTTGGGTTCGAGAAGAATCAAAAAGGAGGATAGACACTTAAAAGGGTGGACTATGGGGTGAAAGGACAATCTACATGGAGGAGAAAGATACCTACCTACCTAATACTAAAACTCAACCTATATTGGGTACATTGAACAAAGTAGAGAGCCACCCTACTCAGATGTTCTCAATTCCCAGGCCTGCAAGCTTCTCATATTTCCAGCGATATCTCGAACGATGGTCGGTTTCCCCAGGCAGCTACCTACGCACACTTTTATCTCAACTATTTTCGACCTTCTCACCCACCGCCCGCCGCCGCCGCCTCAATACATCAATGGGAAAGAAATTTGTTCATTGTCATCACCAAGGCCCATGGCGTGGCGGAGAATGACCTCGTTTGTATGGCCCCGCTCCCATGGGTCACGAGTTCGAGTCTGGTGAGAAATTGCTAGCATCGATACAATTGAGGAATAGTACGTAAAGAGTGAGCCTGGTGATTTTTGTAGGCCCCCCTCACGGGGGCTGAGCTTTTGTACTTTTTTGAGATATTTATTGCCTAGAGTTTGATTGTGTGTCGTTATTATGGCGATTCATGATCGGAGGAAAAGGGCAAGATGCAGGTGGTTCCCTTGCCGGTGCCTTTGCATGATGTAGAATCTGTCGTCTGACGAAGCTTTCTCTGAAGAGTAGCTACCGGGTTGCCTTCTCCCCGGACAGCTCTAAGCAAGTTAGCATACCAACCGCTTCGGAGCCGACGGGCGGCGGCAGCGGGCCAAGCTGCAACGAGGGGCCAGAGTCTGTGCAGCGCCTGCGCAGGGACTGAGAACCTTGTCGGCCCCAGTGTCTCTAACAGCCGTTGCTAGCCTGTCCACAGCTAGTGCGGGGCTCTTCAACCGAGCTTCCATGCCAGTGGAGGTCGGATAGTCGATCCCCCGTCGTCATGTCGCAATTGACAATGCATGTTGACCGACATACATGTATACGACACCTTTCCCAAGCCTCGTGTGTGTGTCCTCTCTCACTACTTTTCCTTTGAAACGTAACTGATTCCATGAACCACCTGTACAGCGTGGTCCTCTAGCTCCTCATGATGACGATTCAAGCCTCCAAGTTTACCCCAGAGGTTCTGCTCTCTGCCCCGCGCAGGTCTCCGGGCATTCCTAACCCATCTGGCACGAAAGTGCTCTATACTGTGAGTCGGCAGTAAACTGGACGAGTCCCAGACGTCGCAACATTGCTATAGGATTTCGTGCTTCTCAATTGAAGTGGTGAGCGCAGACTAACGTAGCTCAGGTCTCGACCTACTCGTTCGAAAGCCACAGCAAGACCTCCCAAACGCGTGTTCTTGACGTTGAGAGTGGTCATTCAAGCCTCCTTTACGAGGAAGCATCCTACAGTGACGTGACATGGATTTCGGACGAGGAGATCCTGATACTGCGAAGCGGTGACAAGGGGGCTACGACCCTTCTGCTGGGAGATGTTACGAAGCCGTCTACGTAGGTCGTCTCTGTCACCAGGCATGCTAAACCCTTCGTTGACGTCAGCCATTACAGAGTTACCGAGATCCGCCACTTTGAGGGCAGCTTGTCAAGCCTGAAAGCCAAGCGACTATCCGACGATGAAGTCGCCATTGCCGTCGCCGTCTTGACAACCCCGGAGGGTGCCATGTACAACCCGGTAGCCGAGAAGAAGCAGTTGACGACCGGCAAGGTGTACTCGAGCCTGTTTGTAAGACACTGGGATGCCTGGGTGTCTGAAAACCAGAACTCCATCTGGTATGGTCTTCTGAAGAAGAACGACAAGTCGTACAAGTTCGAGGGTCAGGGTTTGACCAATGCCCTCGAGGTCTCGCGGCTGGTGTCTCCGGTCCCCCCTTTTGGTGGCAGCGGCGATTTTGATATCGGAAAGCACGGCATCGTCTTTGTCGCGCGCGACCCCAATATCTCCCCGGCCATTTACACAAAAACAGACCTCTACTTCCTGCCTTTGAAGTCCTTTGCCGAGGACAAGCCGGGATTGCCTCAAATTGTCAAGACTAGCAAGCTCCGTGGTTACTCGGCGGCACCCGTCTTCTCCAGGGACGGCAAGAAGGTCGCCTTTACCCGGATGAAGAGCGATCAGTACGAGACTGACAAGCCAAGGCTGCTGCTCGTTCCCGACGTCTTCGACCTGGCAAGCGTACAAGAGTTCTACCAGACAGACGACGGCGCCGGCGGCTGGGACGCGCGGCCCGAATGGATCACCTGGAGCAAGGACGATTCGGAGCTGTACGTATCGGCGGAAGAGCACGGGCGTGCTAAGCTCTGGAAGCTGCCGGCGACTCCGCACGAGGCGAAAGACCTTCCCGCAGCAATCTACGAGGAGGGTTCTGTTGTCGAGGCGAAGCTATTGGGAGATGATGGAGAGAAGCTCTTCATCAGCACGTCATCTAGGGTCGAGAACTCGGCTTACTCCGTTCTGGATCCCGTCAGTCAAAAGACCGATCTCGTATCCTCGAGCTCCAAGCACGGAAAGTCGTTCGGTCTGTCCAAGTCTCAGTGTGACGAGTTCTGGTACAAGGGAGCCGAGGGATACGACGTTCACGCCCTCGTGGTGAAGCCGTCCAACTTTGACGAGAACAAAAAGTACCCGCTCGCGTTCCTCATTCACGGAGGCCCTCAGGCCGCGTGGATGGATAGCTGGAGCACGCGATGGAACCCTGCCATCTTTGCGGAGCAGGGTTATATCGCAGTCATGCCCAACCCGACGGGAAGCACCGGCTACGGACAGCAGCACACCGACAATATTCAGAATGAGTGGGGTGGTCGCCCGTACGTGGACTTGGTGAAGTGTTTCGACCACATCGAGAAGAATATTTCGTACATTGATTGTGGCAACGCTGTTGCTTTAGGTGCTTCGTACGGAGGATACATGATCAGTGAGTTAGGACAGCAGTGTATCACGTAGCGATAGATGCTAATCCCTCGCAGACTGGATTCAGGGTCATGAGCTCGGAAGAAAGTTCAAGGCATTGGTCTGCCACGACGGTGTATTTTCAACACTGAACCAGTGGTCTACCGAGGAACTCTTCTTCCCTCTGCATGACTTTGGCGGTCCTCTTTGGGAGAACCGAGAGGGCTACGAGAAGTGGGATCCCGCCCATCATCTCGACCAGTGGTCGACGCCACAACTGGTCATCCACAACGAGCTAGACTACAGACTTCCCATTTCTGAGGGCCTCGCCATGTTCAATGTTCTGCAGGCGCGCGGCGTGCCTAGCAAGTTGTTGATGTTCCCCGACGAGAACCATGTAAGTGCTTAGCTCCAGACGATATTTGGTGGATACTTTGATTACTGACGTGTGTGAACAGTGGGTTCTGAAGCCTGAAAACTCTCTTGTCTGGCACAGAGAGGTTTTGGGATGGATCAACAAGTACACAGGCCTCGACAAGTCTGAGGATGTGGCTATTAGGCAGTAATATGGAGTAGTAGGCCTGAGAAGGGATGGTGAGAGTATCAATATGTTGTAAATCGTGGGTCGTGGCGGTACTCAAAAAGTTGAAATGCCATTCCTGATTGAAAATGATGAAGAGGACTCGTCTAACTTGTGTCGCTGAGGCAAGGCATCCAAGCATAAGGGGCTAGAGGAGTGCTGTGCAAATGTGAAGATGCCTGCCTTACATTGAAGTTGTTCGAGAGCATTCGTGATAAGGTAGTAAGTGCCCCGGGGGCAAGTACAAGGTAGGTACAGTATCCACACTGTCGGGGGAGCTCTCCCCAACGGTTCCCCATCCTGCAGTAGCTCCCACCTCACCTCCTTCCGATACCTTTAGGTTCTGTTCACTGCTGGTCCGAGCTCCTTTCAGTTCACCAAGGCTGAAATTTCGCGAACTTGCACCTTCTTCACCCATCCTTCAACTAAAGAACGACTTGCACATAGGGATTGACGTGACCAACGGCTTTCTTCTAACTTATATGTCCATCCAGTGACGACTTGCGACCCGAAAACTACGCGTCACAACATCATGCGAAGCTTCCTGAACCTACCTCAGAACCGAAGGTGACCGACGAAATCGCAAAACCCACGAACGAGCCCAGTCACAGCAAACCCGCGATTTCCTCTCAAGCCGCTTATTACCATTAATTCTTGGCCTCGACAAACCTTTGAGCTCTACGATACTCCCGAGGGCGGACCAAACACCTTAATTCCACGGAAACACCCAACCAAATACACGAAAAGACAAACGGAAGAGAAAATGACACCCCCACCAGTCCTCTTCCACGCCCTCCTCCGCCCCGCGGTCCTCCAGATCCTGCGCGCGACAGGATATCACGCCGCACGACCCGTGGTTCTCGATGCCGTCACAGAGCTCGCGGCGCGCTACATGTTCGCTCTCTGCCAGGCGACAGCGCGGCACGCGGGCGACAACGACCCGCAGGGCGACGCTGGCCCGGGCATGGTGGACGTACGCATGGCGCTGCAGGAGCTGGGTGCCGTGCCCCCGGACGATGTGCTCGCTGAGGGGAGAGGCGCGATACTGGGCGAGATTCTAGACTCGCTGGACGAGGAAGGAAGGAGCGAGGCGGGCGCAGAGCTCGCGGCGGCGGCGGCTGCTGCAGCTGTGCCGGACGGCGAGGGAGACTTGGCAATGGCGACGCCGACGGCGGTAACTGAGAGGGGACGCGAGAGAGAGAAGATCGTTGAGGATACGAGAGGCGTGGACGAGTTCATCAAGTGGTTCTCCGGACCGCGGAACAAGGCCATTCGCGAGGCGGCGGTTGGTGATGGGGAGCTGGAGTTGGGCGACTACTTGAACGGTCCGTTGCCTCGACCTCCCTCAATTTACGGAACGGAGAGGAAAGAGAGACTTGCGACGAAAGCTAACATGATGAGATAGTCCTGAAGAAAAAGCACAGCAAGACGGGCGAAGACTCCAAGTACCACGGCACGATCATCGGCAAGGGCAACGACGTGGGCGAGGTCCAGGTCGAGGGCGGCGACCTCCCGAGCATCCACACCTGGCGGTCCAAGATGCAGGGCCCGCCACCGGGCAGCGCCCCGTCGGCGACCTCGCCGCGGATCAAGGAGGAGTCGAGACCGCCGAGCTCTGGGCTGAGCTCCGTAGGCGACAGGCTGGGCGACGACCGCGACAGCATGGACTTGTCATAGGGGGCAAACATGCGAAGACGGACGCGCACCGGCAGCACGGCCAGCCAGGCGAGCGTTGTCAGCGTTGCCAGCGTCAGCACGAGTAAGACCGAGGGCCGCGAGGGTTGCGCGGTCCGCCCGAGAGGGGGCCGGGGCCGAGGCGGCTCGATGGCGGGCAGAGGCAGGGGCAACAAGACTAGCGGCGGCAGAGTCACCAAGAACAAGACGACGACGACCACGGCTAAGGCTAAGCCCAGGAGTAGGTCCAGCACGAAGACGAAGCAGAAGCAAAAGAAGAAGGACAATGACAAGGAGGACGGTGATTTCACGGCATAGCGCGGCGTTTTTAACAAGGGGAGGGGAAGGTATCATTACTGATTTTTCGGGTCTGGCACTTGAGCGAGAGAGACAACTCCTCCCCTGAACCAAACCAAAAAGTTTATTCGTCACTTTGGAGGCGGGAACGGCAAGCATGGATCGATATGCATGAATATGGGAAGTCATGGGCTTTCATGAATACGGGAAGGAGTGTGTTCCCCCTCCTTTCTTAGGAGGAAATGAAAGTGAAGGAGGGAACGGGAACTCGGATGAGGACAGCATTTATCATACAGACTTCTCCAGCCGAGGACAAGCAGCTGAGGAATGGGGTCTGGCTTTTTTTGGGCAAAGCATTGTATAGAGACCTTTATCTCTAGGCCAATACTTTTTCTGCTTCACCTTAGGCTCGTTACCACATTGAAGTTTGAGTTTCTATCGAAGTGTACACCCTTCATCTGCGTGATGTTACGCCGGTTTGACGAGGTCACGTGTGCCCAAGATGCTCGCTATCTGCAAAAGAATGTCATGGTGTCAAAATATGGTTGGTGTGCTTCTGATTCTCTCTGTGTCTATCCTCTCGATAGGGGCTTTGCACTACTATGATGATAGCCCTTTTATCATCTCTCGCCAGTTGGTATATCCACCTCTTCTTCCCTTCCATCGGGAGGAGTTCTCTCTCTCTCCCCCTCCTTATATCCTCACGGGGGATAAACAAAACCCAACAACAGTTATGTACCATCTTCTTTACCAATTTCGTCCTGGGTGGGGTGCTCCCCTTTCCCGGAGATGTTTCGCTTTGAAAATAAAACTCCTATGCCTGCCCTTATGTCTTGCCAAAAATCGGCGAGATATGCTGTATGCCTCTTCCCAAAAAAATATACAGTTTGTGGCTCTTTCTCTTTCTTTCCCTTCTCTTTCACCTGGATATATAAAAAACGAGAAATGAAACGAGACACGACTGTCTAGTTGTCGCGGTGGGCTTGGGCCGTCCTCGACTCGTGCGCGGTGTGTCCCGGGTTTGGCAGAATATCGCCGTCGGCAGTGACGAGGTTGTCCTCGTAATCGGTGCTGTTCCTCAGCAGACCCGCCTCCTCGCCGCTGCCGTCGTCGTTATCGCTGCCGCTCGAGGAGGCGCCCGAGGCGTGCGCAACCTCCATGTGGCCACGCTGAACCTCCTTCTGTGCGTCCTCGCGCATCTGAGTGATCTTGATGTAGTTGTACGCGACGATGGCGCCCATGGTGGTGATGAGACCGACAAAGTTGACGGGCGTGAGGCGGTCGTTGAAGACGATGGCGGCGGCGGAAATTGTCACGACCTCCTTGAAAATACCGGCGATGGAAAGCGTCACGACGGAGGTACGCTGCAGCAGAGCGAATTCCGAAGCTGTCATGAGGAAGGCGATACATCCGGGGAAAAGCAGGAACAGCGGCGTTGTAATGGCGCCCCATTCGGCGACGAGGACTTTCAGGCCCTCGATGAGGGCGGGGAACCCCTCGACGGGGATGGCGATAACGATCAACGTCAGGAACATGACGGGCGCCAGGAAGAAGATGCTGGAGAAGGGGTTCGACGTTGCCGGGTTGCGCAGGAGCAGGATTTGCGTCAGGCCCCATCTGAAACCAGAGAAGAAGGCCGCAGAGATGACGAGGATGAACCCGCTGACCTTGAACTCGACTTCTCCCGACACCATCAGAACGACACCCGCAGTCATTGTCGCAATGATAGCCACGAGGCGCCATGTGGGCTTCTCGAGTCTGAACAAGAAGGCGAAGATCAAAACGAACGCTAGGGAAGACGATTTACACATGGCTAAAGAGGGTTTAGTTTTTTGCGGTGAGCGTCGGGCGGCGCATATTACTTACTGTAGAATGTCAGGGTGATAAATTTGAGCGAGGTGTTACCGAGTCCAATATCGAGACCCGTTGCAGCACCACACGGCCCAATGCGCGTCAGATAGAACATCTTGGTCATCAGAGGTCTGTCGGGCTCGGATTCGTGCCTCGAGCGGCCCAAATCCGAATTGCGCACTCCATTGGACGGGCGCAGGGAGGGTATTAAGAATAGCACTAATGATGCGAGGCCGAATTGTACCAACATATGGCAGGCCGTCGTGAAAAGAGGGAAAGCAAAGTTGAGGCGGTTCTCATCAAACATCCACTTGTTATACTGTGGGCCTCTTGTGTCAGCTTGTGATTCTGCGGGCCGTAACGACATAGAGCAGCGTATGGGCAAATGGGCTTACCAGTGAAATGCTGAGAGAAAAGAAGTACCACAGCAAGATCAGGGCGACGTTGACGGCGGATTTCCTAAAGACGTTTTGATCTGCTTCCTTCTTCTCCTCGGCCGAGATTTCGCCGCGGACGAAGCGCTGATCTAACCGCGTGTTGTTCCTCTTCTTTTGCTTCTTCCTTCTCTTATCTTTCTTGGTCAAACCCGTCTCCTCGTCATCATGGAGATCCTCGTCGGAAAAGCTGTCGTCGTCGATATTCTTGGATGCCGATGGTGTTGCTCCGAGATCCTCCTCCGATATCTTTGGCTCTTCCAACATGTTCCCCTGATTCCTTGACGGGACTCTTTGGTGGTTACTAGCGCCGGCACTTTGCATGAGCGAGCTGCGGCGCCGGCGGTGGCCGGTTCCTTTCAATGGCTCCATTTCGATCTCGTCGTCGTCGGCGGCGACAGTAGGAGAACGTTCTCGAGCGGCGGTGTTGAGGGAGGAAGAAGAAGGGCCCTGGCGCAACGATGCGTGGGCAGTCTGAGCGGTAAGGACGTCTCGTGGCCGTGGACCATCCGGGTTCGAGGGTGTGTTATCCGTGGTGGTCGCGTGTCCAGGCGAGGGTGCGGTGGGTGGTGGGAGAAGCAGAGGTGACGGGCTCAGGAGGCGACGGTTGGTGGTATCAGTAGTGTGGTGGTGGTCGTGTGAGGAGGAGGATGAGGAGGGGAGGGCGTCGTCGTGGTCAATGGGGTCGGGGGAGGATGACACGGCACTGGCAGCAGCCGAGACGGAAACAGAGGCAGATTGAGATTGAAGTTGAGAATGAGAATGAGATTGGCTAGGGTCGGGAGGCAGCAGGACATGCACAAGTGAAGAGGAAGCCGAGTCGGAGGGCGAGGAGGAGGATTGGGGCATGATTTAATCTGGGAATCCACAGCGGGATTCACAAGCACAACTTAAGCTGCCGGGGCTGGTAGGCTGGGTGTATGCGTACGGTGTGTATTACCGGGTCAGATCCAGTTTACCGGCCGTCGTCTTCTCTGGGCGCCGCAATACCTTCGCAGTAAAAGGCAAGGTAGATCGGCCTAGGTCGATGGGGTCGGGACGAGGGAACTGGGCGCAGTTGATTTGCTGTCGGGGTCTGGGCTTGTGGTGCTTTGGTGCAATGTTTGGTGCATTTGGAAGCACATTTGGAGTTAGGCTGTCGAGAGGACAGACTGCGCGTGAGAAAGGTCCTAATCCTGGTTCACGGCCACGGCGGTGCGGTGCGGATCATTTCTCCAGTCACAGGTGTCGCGCGGGCGCCCACACGCGGACGAGGTGGGTACGTACCGGACACGCTGAGTCTCTGAAAATGGTCCACTGCTAGGGAGAAGGAGAGGGACGGGCAGGCGGGCTGGGAGGGGAAAAAGGGGACCGGGGAGACTGCGGTGAGGTGGGGACAGGCCCAACCCACCTAGCAGGTGTGGCAGGGGGTACCTCTGGAAGTTGCTGCAGGTACGTACCGCTGCCCACTGCCCGTCTGGCCCTGCAGCCCCCTGCCCATGATCTCGGTGGCTTATGCTTACCGCCAATTACCGCTACCGCACCCGCCTTCCACTCAACTTCTCTACGCATTACACAGTAGTATTCGTATGTACAGTCTGAACTTCTCCTGAGGACAGGTGCTTCAATCTCTGCAAAATGTCTCTGCTTCCTGCTCCCAAGATGAAATGTGGAGATGGCCTTGGCACGCCTCACGGTGGAGACGTCTCGTGGGCTTCTGCTGCAGCACTGGCACAACTGCACTTCGCTTCCAGGCTTTCTCCCATGGGCGGTCAGGGTCGTCATCAGGGATGACCTTTCCTTATGCTCCCTGTGACATGCCAGCTCAGAAGGACGCTCACCAAGGCACGCGAGGAGAAGGAGGCGACTTCTGGGTGGGAATCCACATGCAGAGCGGCCTGGCGAGAACAACTGTCAACAAACCGTGCATCCCACCGCGGGCTGGACGAGGATCAATGGGCCTGGAAGAACTCTACGGAAGGAAGAATTGGGTCTGCCTGCAATAGCACCCGCTACTATGAGAGATTTCTCTCTCACGACTTCACCACGGTCACCACCCGGGACGAATGAGGTAGTAACAATACGCGTGTTTTTTGAGTCATCATGCTTCTTCGTTCGTGGTCCCCGTCTTCAGCTGGACAACGTTCCTTTGTCTTTTTATGCTTTCCAGCGGCCCGTCACTAGTGTGTCCTTCTACTAAAGTATCTGAGATTACCTCGAGGTACGCGAAGTTAGCTGCAATGTGTTAGCCCCTTTATCCGTACTGATCCCCCCATCAACCTCACCTACACAGTGGTCCGTAACTACTGGTAGTAGGTGAGGTCACAGACCGAGTAGTGTTAAGCATGGAAGCAATAGCATAACGCGAAAGTGGCCCAGATCGCCAGTAACTGAGGGTCGTCCGAAGATGTGATGCTTCAAGTTTCACGGGCGGTAAATGGACCCGTTCGTCCTACTAAAATGCTATCCGACACACACAAACCCAACACCTCCGAAAATGCAACCTCCCATTTAAGCTTGGCCCAGCCGTCTCTCACATCCAGAGTCACAGGATCTCTCATCCACTTGTTGGGGGCCCTGTCCGACGCAACCTTACCGCAACCCCCTCTCCCCTCAGTCCCTCCTCTCCTCTCCTCTCCTCTCCTCCGCCCCTCACCGCGCTTCCGTAGTCAAGCTGCAGGGAGGTCATTCATCGTGGGCAGTAGCACAAGTCTCTCGGTTATGTTGCTAGCCATGTGCTTAGGTATCACGGTCGTCGGTAGAGCTCTTACAGTCTAACTACCTACCTACCTAGCTACAGGAGTCTAGCAGTCGGGACTATTCCAACTTTGCGACGAAGGTGCTCGGGTGACCAACTGCCCACAGCGATCCAACCCACCTTTGAGAGAGACAGAGAGAGAGAGTGTCTCACAATGATCTCAGTCTCACACACCAGCCCGTGATTTTCTCAACCCAATTGAAGTCGCAACTCCCTCTCCCACCCAGCCAGCTTTCACCATGTTCCGGACCCGGATCCTCGGGCTGCACAGCAACCCTCTGCGGAGCAAAAGAAAAGAAAAAGCCCGCCCAGCATCCGATTTGTTTGAATCATGTTGTTAGCCACCCCATCCCTCTCGGTCTCGAGGTTGCTGATTAAGTGATCAACCTCCATCCTGAACAACAGTCGCATTGTTTTCGTTTCCGAGTCCCGTTTCTTTCTGAGACCTTTGCCTTGCAGACACAATGGATACAGCAAAAAACATGCTTGTTGCCTCGGTCCGCATCCGTTCGCAGGGAGGCTGTTATTTTCCCCAGCTCTCCCGTCGCCCTATCCTCTTGACGCATGGACCTAATATCCGCACGGTTGAATCCATCCCAAAAGAGGCATCGAACCTCACAGACGGCGGGCATGAGAGAATCCGAGTCCGATGGGTACTCTAGAATCGGAACTATCGACTGACAGATACAACAATGTCGGTAAACCACCGCGCCAACCTCCCACACAAGTCTCATTTTTTTCTATCCTTCCTCTCTCCCCGCAGACGCGGAGAAAAAAGGAATAAGACGGCGTCACAAGCTACCACAGGTCCCACAAACCGTGAAGCTTCCTTGGCCCCTGAGCTTTCGAGGCCGTTGAAATGTCTTGTCTTACCCAGCCAACCAGCCCCGACGTGCTGTTTTGTGCGCGAGAAATCAAACCCGGCGCCAAAAGGATTGAAAAGAAATACCTACAAAAACCCAAGGCGGTTAAGTGAGACACCTAACCCGCCTCGTTCAGCCTTCCTGATTACCTACGCGTACCTACCAGCCGCTGCCCGTCGCCGTTGAATTTCCTTTTTCTTTCCCTTTTCCCGTTCCCCAACGCGTGAGTGTCTCACCCTTTCGTGTAGGATGCTGGATGGGAGATCCTGAGTGAACGAGCTATACGTTCCAAGGGAGAGAAATAGGTCCAGACCCTTTTCCCCATGATGTCAGCCACCGTCATTCAACACCGTACTCTGTAGATCGTCCCCCGCATACGAATGTTCAAGGTCCTTGCGATCGATCTCTCTGTTCAGGTGAGCGGTGGGTTCTTGGGCAGAATAGCTTCGGAAAATTTCCACCATAATCCGTATTCCTTTTCCATGAGAGTTTCTACATAGTACATAGTATTGGGTTCTATTTGATTTTCGTCACATTGTCTAAGCTCCAACAGGGTAGCTTTCGCGCGTGTTGTGCCTGGGGCCTGGGCCTGGGGTTTTGCCGATCTGGCAGCTCAACTTCATTTAGGTATCCATATGAGCTGAGCTGACTGAGCTGAGCTCCCAAAGTGGATTCTCACTAGCGGCTCGATGCGATATTGAACAGCGTCATCAGACTTTCGGGTGCTTGACATCACGCACTTTGGGTCCAAGTCACGCCCCCCTCTCTCAGAAGCTGTCTGCCTTGGGATAAACAATACAGCTTTTCATCCGAAGTACAGCCTTTCACCTGAGAGCTCCTATAGCTAGTGCTCATTTGAATTTGGTAGTAGGCAATCACGCAGCGGGAGCGAGCGGCGCATCCGTTTCTGTTTATGCTGCAGCACGTCGGCTGCAGGTCAAGAGAACCTGAGCGCTAGGTGTTAGTCGGCGTTAATCATCGAGAGACGACACCATGACAAAAGCGTCCGCTGACATGTGTTTTGTTGGTTTCTCCCCGCAGCCACAGTCGGGTAGCCGCAGATCGTGGCTTCCGCTCTACCCGTTCTCTCTGTGTAATCGCCGGGGTTTAACCCCCCCATTGCTTAGACCTTAATCTTGACTTCATTGCTTACGTTCAGTTGGTTTCATGGCTGTTCGGCAGTAACTATAGGCTGGATATCCCCTGTTGTTTTCTCATATCTATCATATTCATCTCACTGAAAGAGGTCTCATATGAGCACATATAATATTTGACCATATTTGATATCTCCAACTAGCTTCTCCGACGATCCGGGAAACGACATCATGGCTCAACAGTGCTCGACGAGGCATGTCGCCGGCAGCCGCGCCGGGTACCTGCCGATCGAGGACTATGGTATGATTGGCAACATGCATACATGCGCGCTCGTGGGGACGAACGGTTCAGTTGACTTTATGTGCTGGTATGAGATTGCCTTTCTTCCTCATTTTGTCTTTATGCTACTTACACGTTCCCCTCGGGCCGACGTTACATTCGGCCGAGTGATGAACTTCCCAATGCTCTCTTCATCTCTTCCCATAGCAGCCGATGAGATGAATAACGGCATAAGATGCTACAAGAGGATCATCTCAATGTACCAAGATCTTGAGATCAAAATATCTTGAGACCAAAGCGGTTGAAAGGCCTATCTATCATCCGGCCCTCATGAGCTCAAATTCCCTAGTCGATGAGATACTACCACTTACATCTCGCCCATGAACCCTGACATCTGACGCGCCATTGCCCAGGCCGGACTTCGATTCTCCCAGTATTTTTTGTCGGTTACTAGACCAGGAAAAGGGAGGCTTCTTCAGCATCTGTCCTCCTCCGTCCAAGCTGTGCACAACCAAGTGAGCAAATCCAACTACTTTCCCCCGTCGTGATACCCCTGACCAGTTTCCAAAAAGACAACAATATCTCCCATCCTCCAATATCTTGCAAACTAGATACATCCACGATGACGGCGTCGTCGACGTTGTGGACTTTTTCCCTCGACCCAAGACTGCCACGGTCATATCGAAGAGCACCCGCCAAGGCGCATTCCGTGAGACGACCAAGATCCAGGAGGAGCTGAAGCAATGGCTCGTCCGTCGAGTCGAGTGTATCCGCGGCCGTCTCCAGCTCGGTGGGTAGCCACTGTTCGATACTCACAAAGGTTCAGTTCATGCTAAGCTGACATTCCCAGATATTGAGATTTTCCCGGCCTTCCAATACGCCAGCGAGTCCCACGTCACCACCATCATCGAGCCGACTCACACGGCAAACAGCCCAAGCAAAGCCGTCACCTTCCACAGCGAGCACTACAAGATGCAGCTCGACGTCACCATCGACGACGTCGTCCCCGAGTCCGAGGCGGACGCGTCGGCACCGGCGGCGGCGGCACCGGCGCCCTCCATCACTTTCAGAAAGGAGAAGCGCGACGGTATGCTGGGCGAGGGCGTCGTCGCGCACCTGGAAATCACAGAGGGCCAGGCCGTCTCGTTCGTCCTGCGGAACGACAAGCCGGACCACGTCACGGAGAACGTCACGACGGCGGTGCTCGACGGGCAGCAGCACGACACGCAGTCGTTTTGGTACAACTGGATCTCCAAGAGCAAGTACAAGGGCCGGTGGCGCGAGGTCGTCAACCGGAGCCTGATGCTGCTCAAGATGCTGACGTACGAGCCCACCGGCGCCATCGTGGCCGCGCCGACGTTTTCTATCCCCGAGGATATCGGTGGTGTTCGGTAAGGCATTTCACATAATCCCATTGTGCTTGTTTCTTCCCTCTTCTTCCCCTTCTTCCCCTTCAGCTCCACTAGAGAAAGCTCACTGGTTCACGACAGGAACTGGGACTACCGCTTCTGCTGGGTCCGCGACTCGAGCTTCACAATCTACATCCTCCTCCGCCTCGGCTTCTCCGCCGAGGCAGACGCCTACATGGACTTCATCAGCGAGCGTTTCGTCAAGTCGCGCGGCCCCAGCGGCGAGCTGCCCATCATGTTCACCATCCGCGGCGAGACCGAGATCCCCGAGATGGAGCTCGACCACCTCGAGGGCTACCGCGGCAGCAAGCCCGTGCGGATCGGCAACGGCGCGGCGTTCCATCAGCAGTTTGACATCTACGGCGAGCTCATGGATGGTATCTATCTGTATAACAAGTACGGGAAGCCCATCAGCTGGGATCAGTGGTGTTCTGTGAGGGAGATGCTGGGTATGTGTTGTCTCTTTGGACGTTGATGATGTTTTTCTTTCCTCTGCTGAACACTGGAGCTGACTTGCTGCATAGACTTTGTCCTTACTTTGACAGATCGTAAGTTGTCAACTTCTTTCCTATTGATAAAGGGCATGAGTATTGATGTTGAGCAGAACCCGACATGTCCATCTGGGAGGTACGCAATAAGAAGCAAAACTTCACCTACTCAAAAGTCATGCTCTGGGTCGCCTTCGACCGCGGCCTCCGGCTTGCAGACAAACGCAACTTCCCCTGTCCCAATCGTAGCAAATGGCTCGAAGCCCGCGATAACCTGATGGAGGAGATAATGGAAAAGGGTACGTTTCCCTTATCCTCTGGCGCTAATCTACCCAACCTTTCACAACTCTCTATCCCTCCATTATTCCTTGGCGTATACACATGCACACATGCCAAACATGACGCGGAAGAGCCGACTGAGAGTAGAGACGACAAACTGACAACCGCCGCACCGG